GAGGGACAAAGTAACAAACCCACCCCGGTAGGGTGACCCACGATAGGTGACAATAGATGGTTCCGCCTCCTGGTGCCAGGTCCTGGGGTGTCCAGAGGACCATGCTGTTCTCTTCTGCCAACAGCCTTGGTGGAGACGCCTCCAGAGCTTGTGACGTCACTCGTGTCACTGCTGGAGGGTCACTCGGGGCTCCTAGTGTGGCATTAGGGGCTAAAGCCCCTGTGGAAGCCGAATCTGTCCACCTCAGAGCCTTGGACAGCACCTTGGCCCACCCCGCCAGGGAAGCCTTGCCTGTAAGGGTTCTTCCTTTCCACCAGGCCTGTGCCTGGGGGTTGTAGGGCAGGTGGTAATGCCATTGTACCTCGTTCTCAGCTGCCCATTCACACACATTATCACCTGTGTGTTCCCTGGTCACTGTCAACCTTTCAGGGTACCCCGTACATAAAACTCGATTTTTGTAACCCCTTTGCTGTAGCAGCCTTGTTTGCTTGTTTACACAGGAATGCATGTGTCAAGCCGGAGAGTGTCCATACAAACGACAGCATCCTTTGCTCCTTCACTGGGGTCAGAGGACACATATAATCTACCTGCCAGTCCGTCACTGGCTGGGTTCCCTTATGTATCAGGATGGTGTGGCAGACACTTTGGGAATTCGCATGAGCACATGGGGCAATTTTGCACAGCACCCACCAGATCACTATACTTTACTGCTGTGCCTGCCTTTTTGCCTATTTTCCAACCAACATGACACTCTGGTGTCCGCTTTTCTGGTGAATCCAATGGGCAGCTTCCCCTTTGGAATGCACCATTCTAACTTGTGCTATAGCATCTGCTTCTTGGTTTCCCGGTGGGGAATGAGGAGAATGGGCTGCCACATGGAAAACAGGTCAGCACCCAGGGTTTGGAGGTGACCATGGATGTCCTGTCACAAGGCTTTCCCCCAGAGGATTTTACTCATTATTGTCCACTGCTCCTTATGCCATTGGCCTATGCACATAGTCAGCCCACAGGCTACCACCCAGCTGTCCGTACACAGGGTTAAGGGCCAGGGTTCATGGGTGATGACCATCCACAAAGCCTAAATTTGACCCATTGACTGCTTTACCATGAGGTGGTTTCAAACCAAATGAGATCAGTGGAGGCTTGCTCAGCCACCGCCATCCACAGTAGGGGCGTACGTCAGCTAGAGCCATCTGTGGACCAGGCGTCTGCTGGCAGCAGGCCTTCCCTTCTCTTGGAGGAGAAGGGAGAGGGTTCTGGTGGCCTGCTAGCCTGTGCCGAGGGGCCATGTTGATATATCACTGGACCAAGTACAGCCTGTAACTCTTAGGACAGCACAATGGCAGAGAGGACACCGCGCTGCTGCAGGTATGCCTGCCATTTGGTGAGTATAGCTGTCTGGGCAATAGCTGATGATGGTTTGGAAAACAGCTCACTGATCCACCCATTTATGGGCAAAGCTGTTTGGAAGGTGACAGCTCCTCCGCCTGTTGACAGCTCTACCTGAAAGAGACCATCATAGGCCACTAACAATTGTTTCTCTATGGGACTGTATCGGTTTTCTGCCCCCCTCCACAGTTGGGACCAAAAACCTAGGGTGATTTAGTTTCATCCTGGTCTTGCCACAAGGCTAGGCCAAAGCTGTCCGTGGTGCTTCTCACGTCTAACTGAGGGTAACCCTTCCCGTATTGTGCCCAGCACTGTCACTTGTGCAACCGACACCTTGGCTTTCCCAAAAGCTTGCTGCTGTTCATTGCTCCAAGCCCAAGAGGCACCCTTTTTACCAGCCAATAGAGTGGTCTCAAACACTAGGCCAAGTGGGTAATACTCTCCAATACCTCAAAAGACCCACGAAGGCCTGCACTTCCTTTGGAGTCCTAGGGGTGGGGTAAGCTTGCATCTTATCAACTATGGCTTCAGGCAACACACAGGTATTACCCAACCAAATGACCTCTAGGACTGCACTTTGTGGGGATTCACAGCCCATGCTCTCCCCTGCAGGTGCATGATTAGGGTGTCTAGACACTCCTGTAACAGAGAAACATCTTCAGCAGTTGATATCAGCAATGTAATGAAACCAACAGACAGCAACAGGGAAGGGGAAAAAGCTCAGATCTCCAGCAACCATACCATGGCCAATAGTGGAATTGTGTAGATATCCTTGAGGAAGCACTTGAAATGTCCACTGCTGCCTCCCCTCACCCCCAGGTGAAGGCAAACTGGTCCTTGGCAGATGGGGCTAGAGGGATGCTGAAGAACACATTTGTTAGATCTAACACAGCATGTTGTGCCCAGGTCCCTACTAAGGGTTTCTAACAAGGAAGTTATGTTTGGGACTGCAGCATGTATAGGTGGGATCACCTTGTTCAGTTCCCTGTAGTCCAAGGTCATACGCCAGGACTCACCTAATTTCTTCACAGGCCACACAGGGTATTAAAAGTACTGCAGGCTTCCTGGAGGATGCCTACCCTTTTCAACTCCAGAATGGTTTCACTGGTTTCCTTAAGTCCTCTGGGCAACTTATATTGCTTGATGTCTATCACCCTTCATGGTGAGGGCAGGGTCACTGGTTCCTATGCCATGTTCTCCCTAAAGACTGCTTTCACCACCCTCACTTGCAGTTGGAATTCTCCCACAGACATGGTCAAAGTCAGTCCCATGAGGACATCCACCCCTAGAATGTATCCTGGTACACCCCTAGAATGTATTCTGGCACTGGGGAAATGTAAACTTGACTGGTGTAGGGGGAGCGCGTTCTACTTGCAGGGTCAGGAGTACCTGGCATACATAGATGGTCTTTTTGCCATACCCATCAATTGCCAAGGAGGGTCCTCAAAACCACTCAGGGTTTCCAAAGATAAGGGTGCCCTCTTCCCCTGTATCAACCAGAGCTAGCACCCACTGCTTGTCTGTTCTTGACCAATGTACTGTGACCTCTACATGGGGCCCCTGCTCCCCCTGCAGCGCCCTGACCTGCAGGTGACCTCGACTTCATCCCTAGTCCCTAGGGATTGGCAGGGTCTACCCGGTGGCAAGGGATACTTCCTTGAGAGAGACAGTGGGACGCAAAGAGCGGTATTGTTGCTCCAGCTTCAGACGCTTCCAAAGGTTAACCAAAACTGCATTTGATTGTTTATCTCTCAAGAAAACTACAGCCGTCCCAGCAGCCACTAAGTCCACCCAAATCTGCTTTCGGGGTACTCTCAAGGGGTCCCTGGACAGTCGTCTTACAGGGTTTTTATCCTGTCCTTTCTCTGTTCCCACGGCTCCCACCCCCTTTTCTCTAGCCCTCGGTTTCACCCAAGTTGGCTATGGCTTGTCCCACTTGGTAGACAGCCTGGCCCACTAAGGGACTAACTATAGCCACCAGCTTGCCGGTAGGAGGAAGGTGGGGCCGCCTGTAGGATCTTTGCTTTCATTCCTGCAGAAAAGAGTTCATTGTCTGCTCCCCGGAAGTGCTCGGCATAAATGGGTGGCGCATACCTAGCTCCCTTATTAGTTGCTGTAACTCCTCTACAGAAGACCATTTCCCAACCTTACCGGGAAGATCCCCCTCATTTGGCCACACCTTTCTACAACACAAGATGATCCAATCCGTGAGGGTGTGTATGCCCTCTGCGTGTTCCGAGCACCTTGTAAATGCTGCCAGAGGGCGGGGTGGGTGGTTATATCGCTCATTTTTTCCTGTTTCAACTAGATTTAAAGAGACACCGTGTCGTCCAATATCCCACAGACGTTAATAACCAAGCTGCAATGGTTTCCTTTCCTCTCTGCTGGGATTTCCCATACAATTCAATCAACTCAGTGGGGGTGTACTCCCGCACTGTCATGAAACTGACGGGTGGGATTTCCTGTCTATGGTTATCGGACACGCAGGTAGCTTTCATTCTATGGGTAACGAGCGACCTGCCCGAGGGGCTGCTGTGCAAAGCCAGGCGCCTTCTCTACTACCACCTGCACATCTGAGTCGCTATGAGGCTCGCTCTCCCGAGAATTCCACAGGTGGATCCGCGCCGCTGCCCACCGCTTAAAGCCGAGGCCACGCTCGTCCCTCCGCGCTCACGGCCGCGACCCCCGCCGCCATTTCCGCGTGCATGACGTCACTTCCGCTTTCACCGCGGCCTCGGCACGAGACACCAGCGCCCAGCGGCACCGCCCCCTTTCGCTCCCAGGCTGAAGCACCGCCCCCGTCTTAAAGGGACCGAGGCTTCCGAGCGGCCTCGGGCGGAGATAGCTCCCGGTCTTGACGGCGCGACCCCGGGCGTTACCCTACCCTCTGGGCAGTGGGCGGCGGGCCGCATGCCGGAGCAGCCTCCTCACCCGGAGGTTGCAGAGAGCACTCCGGGAGCTGAAGAGGAGCCCAGCCCTGCCCTCCAGGGCGTCCCCGGGGGAGGACGCACCTCAAAGGTCCCACTGCTGAAAGGCGCGCCTGGCATGTCGTGGGAGCGGATGAGTCCTGGGTCTTAGGCGGGTGCGCCCCGTGACCCCAGCCCCCTTTCCCTGGGGACACCCCAGGGGGCCACGGACCCGCTACTGCCCTTAGCTTCCCCATTTCAAAGGAAGTGGCCAGGCTCGGCTCTGAATTGCCATGGTACCAGGGTCTAGGGGGGGGCTTTGCCTCCTCTGCACTGGGGGCCCAGAGGTGGGCGAGTAGCCGGTCGGACCCAGAAAAAACGTCCCTGTCTGTGAGAGCTGCAGGCTGAACCGGACACGTGGCAGCAACACGCATCTAGGGTTGCTTTGGAGACGGGCGCCCCGCCTCCACGCGCGGACAACTAGGGCAAGTAGACAGGGAGTCCTGGATGCAAATGCTGCCCCCTCTCTACCATCTCCGCCCTTGCAGTCAGCAGTCTAAGCCCATCCCCTCCTCGCCCCCAGGGAAACCTATTTTACATCTGTGAGCCTCAGAAGAGGGGGTCTTGAAAGGAGAAACTCTGGGAACTCTCGGAGCCCCGAATGAGGCCGTGCTCGGGCTACGGAAGCGGGGAGAGGAGCCCGAAAATTTTAAATCTTTAATTTTTTCAGGTTTTTTTTTTTTTGCTTCCAGAAGGAAAAGAGCATGGCTCCGTAGCCTGTACATGGTCCGCGGCCCCTGGGGCGAGGCGGGGTTGTCCCGGCCCGCGCCGCGCGGGAGGCCAGAGGTTCTCATGCAGCCCCCGGCGGGGCGGGAGGGACGAGGTCCTTATTGCTGAGGTCCAGGCCGGCTCAGGGCGCGGCCACTGGGCTAGGCGCGCTGGCTGGGCAGCTCCTGGGTGATGAAGCGGCGCAGACGCTCCAGGTACTGGCTGTAGAGCTCGATATCGTTGTGCCCGGCGCCCTCCACCCACAGCGGCTCCACGGCCTTGGGGCAGCGCTCGTAGAGCGCCAGCCCGTGCGAGAAGTCGATCACCTCGTCCTCTGTGCCGTGGATGATGAGGACGGGCGACGTGATCTTGGACACCTTCTCGATGCTGTGGGGCAGGCGCAGGTCAGGCCTCGGCGCCTTCCTCCCCAACGTAGCCCCGCCCACCCCGGCCCCGCCCCGGCCCCGCTCACTTGGGGAAGGCGTCGAAGCAGTAGGTCTTCTTGGTGTCCGGGAAGGCGACGCGCATGCCCGAGGTGAGCGGGGAGTGCAGCACGACAGCGGCGCACTCGTAGCGCGAGGCCAGGTCCACGGTGGGCACCGTGCCGATGCTCTGCCCGTACAGGATGATGCTGTCCGGGCTGATGCCATACCTGGGGGCGGGGGCGGAGCAGCGTCAGCGCTACGCCGGCGCGGGTCCCAGGGCCACACGGAGAACTCTTCCTAGCCCGCGCTCCCCAACGGTCTCGGGGACCCTCCCTGCCCCCCAGCACCTGCGGTGTCCTCTCCACTCCCACCCTTCACACACTGGTCACCACGTGCCAGATCTGGAATCAGCGACCAGCCTCCCTGCCCCGGGATAAGAACACCCTTCTGGTCACACCTGGCGTTCCCAACAGACTCTCTGGGCTCCTTCTGCACCCCTGCCCCTTGGCCGTGGGCATCAAGGGGCAGCCGCGCCCAGCTGTCTCGAGCCTGGCCTGGCCCGAGGAGTCCTGCGCTTGGGTGCTCAGAAACACCCAGATGAGCAGTAAGCAACCTGGGGCTGCAGGGCTGGGGCTCACCTCCTCTGCCAGCACCTGCCCCATGGGGTAGACAGGTCCTGAGCCCTGCCTTTCCCCCCCCCAACCCCCAAACCCAGGACCTCAGTGTGCAGCACCCAGCCTCCCCTGCCTGGGCCTGGGACCCGCGAGGACCTGACTCAGCTCCGGGCCACGGCTGCATGGGCCCCATGAGGATGCCCCTCCTCCCAGTGGACAGGGGCCAGGGCTAGTTAAGGCCTTGCCTGGTCAGCCGGACTCCACCCCAGCACCTGGTCCTGTCCTCTAACCATGGCCTCTTGCAACCCCTGCGTTTGTGCCAGACGCCCTGGCCACCCTGGCCTGCTCTGCCAGCCGCCATGGCCACCTCTGCTGAGCTTGAGCCCACCTAACCACTCAGCTCCAGGCAGGGTGTCCCAAGGGCCGCCTGGGCATCTCCGCACCGACAAAGAGGCTATGTGCTGATGGGGTGGCTGCTCCTCGCGCCTCGCCCCGGCCCCAGCCCCTGCTTCCCAGACCCACACAGCTGCTAGGGCTAAGGGAAGGCCTTTCTGAAGGCCAAAGCTGATGAACGGATGGACTGACGGAGGCCAGGGCTCTCGGCCACAGCAGGTGGGATCAAGCAGCATCCCCAGCCCAGGGGACTGCGGAAGGGGCTAGAGGAGGCCGAGGGCAGGCGCACCCAGGCAGCAGAGGCGGGGCTGGGTGCTGGGGGACCCACGTGGCCAGGAAGTCTCCAGAGCCAGGGTGCAAGGGGATGCCACCCCTGGGGCCTGCAGCCGGTACATTGCCACGGCAACTGGGCCGCCACCTCCCTGGGGCCAGCTCTGCAGTGCCACACCTGGTTCCTCCCAGAGCAGGTGGAACCGGTGTGTGTGTGGGGGGGTGCCTTGGCTCCCACTGCCCTGGGGACCGGGCGGCCTACAGCAGCAACAGGCAGGCCGCCGCCTCCAGGAGGACAGGGGCTGGGCTGGCGTCCTGGTGCAGTGCTAGACACAGGGCTCGGCCACCACTGGTCACGGGAACGAGCTTGTGGGAGTGGGGGTGGGGCAAAGGGACCCCGAGGCTATCAACCTGCAGCGGGGCTGGGACAGGCCGAGGCAGCGGCACCAGGCACCAAGGATCAGCCTGTGGCTGTGAGCAGGGCCCTAGCCTGGAGGGGCGGCACTGACCTTCTGCCACTGCCGCCAGGACTATGCTGGCATGGGCTGCCCAGGAGCCTGCTGCACCCCACAACCCTATGCCATGCCCAGGCTGGCCCCCAGGCTCCACCCTGTGCCCTGCATCCCCTTCCATCCCCTGGGTGCCAGACATCCTCTCCCACAGCTCTGACCCCTCCTGTTCCAGGGGGACACCCTAGACCCTGCCCAGGGAGGAGCCAGGAATGTCTGTACCCCCCGTGCTGGGGGCTCCCAGGGCAGGGCCCCACACCTGGTGTCCCGTGCCCAGGGGGTCTGAGGTCTGCTGGGCCCCTGCCTCAACCCCAGCAGACATGGGCTCCACACGCACCGAGCACACCTGTCACCACGCCAGAGGACTACGGTCAAACCCCCTCTGCTCCCTCTGGCGGGCATCCTCCTGCCCCAGCCAGGTGTCCCCCTCTGAGGACACACTCTAGGTCGCCCCCTCCCCGGCCTGAGGTTCGGGTCCGCCACGGGGTGGCCCTGGCCCGCGGCCCCACCTGGTGCGCAGGGCCTGCCAGGCGGCATCCACGTCAGCGTAGAGGTTCCTCTCGGAGGGCCTGCCCGAGCTGGCACCGTAGCCGGAGTAATCATAAGAGAAGACGTTGCAGCCGATGCGCGAGCCCAGGCCGACGTAGAAGCTGCTCATCTGGCCCAGGTCCACGGCGTTGCCGTGCGAGAAGAGGACTGTGTACCTGGGGGCGCGGGGCGGGCAGCCGGCACCCGGGTATGCCAAGTCACCAGTCTGTCCCAGCGGCTCACACCTCCTCGTCCTCGCCCCTCCCGAGAGGTCATGCAGCCAGTGAGGGGGGCCAGGGAGGGGCAGGGCCCCCCCCCCCCGGGGCTTGTCCCCGCAGCAGGGCAACCAGCTGCCTGTGCCACAGAGGGCCCCTTCCTCCTGTGCCTTGGGCAGGGGGCGGCCAACTGAGACTCATGTTTCCCCTCTGTGATGGGGGTCACTAGGACCATCAGTCATGTTCTCAGCACAGGGCAGACCCGCAGGACAACCATCATCTGCATCCCTGGGCAACACCCACAACTCCTCTGGGGCCCCTCCTTTTGGAGGGGCCTCACCTGCCCGAGAATGGCCCGGGTGTGCGCCTGCTGGGGAGTGCACCTGCTGCTCAGAACCCCTGGAGTGAGAGGCTGGCGTCTGACTGGCTACCAGCCCTCTATTCTTGGAGAGCTGACAGCAGCCCTGCCCCCACGCCCTGCTACCTGTGCCCCAGGCCACGCTGAGGGTGCAGCCTTCTCCCCACGGACCCTGCTGAGCAAAACTGGGAAAGCTTATCCTCTGGACTCAGACCTCAGCTGCAGGGCCCCGCCTCTGCCCCACTTGTGACCTTAGGAGGAGCCGTCCAAGCCCCCAGGTGCAGGGAGGCCTGGTGCCCAGGACCTGTGATGCCACCTGGACCCTGGACCCGTTAAAGGGGACACAGCCACAGTGTCCCAAGCCACCTGCCACGGTGCCGAGGCCTCATCGTGCCTCTGGGACCCGGGAGAGCTTCCTAGGCAGGTGAGCACTGAGACAAAAAAGCAAGTGGCCCCATGGAGCAGGCGGGCAACGCGGTCACTCGGAACTGGGCCACGGGATCAGCCAGCCCCACCCTGAGCCTCGGCTTCCTCATCTGGGGGTCAGGTGAGAATGGGGCCCGCCCTTTGACAAGAAGACACATGGGCAAGGGATGGCCAGCTGAGCCTCAAGCTGTGAAAGGGGGTCACTAGGACCATCAGTCACGTTCTCAGTAGAGTGGACCCAAAGCACGTGCCGTGATCGTCACCTTTATCCCCCCGGAGGGGCAAGGACAGGCCTGCGGGAGGGGACCGTGCTGACCAGTGCCCCTCAGGGCCCCCAGCCCCCACACCCCCAGCTCACCTGGCACCAGGCACACAACGCACATACATGCAGGTGACACGGCTGCCGCGGGCGCTCTTGGTCAGGAAGACCTCGATGGCGTCGAGCTCCCGCTGGCTGTACTGGAAGTCAGCCCGCTCCGTCAGGTGCAGCTTCCAGCGTCCCGGGGGGCTGGCCAAGGCCCGCAAAGTGCCCAAGGGGGCGGCACCAGCCCCCGGCTCCGGCTCAGGCACCAGCGAGTAGGTGGGCTCCGGCGGCAGGAAGGCGAGCTTGGCGGCGATACGGCCGGGGCAGGGCGGGCAGCAGAAGAGGCAGCACAGTTCACTCACCGACAGGCCGTTCATGGCGGGCGCCGGGCCCCCGCCGAGGACGCCAGCCGACCTCGCGCGGCAGGGGGCGTGTAGGGGTGCTCTGAGCCACGGGCGGTGGGGAGAGCGTCCTCCCGGCCTCTGCCCCAGACACAAGCCCCGTTAGGAGGCTGCAGCCCGGCTCCATTGCGGTCCAAGCTGAGCCCTCGGGAGCCTCGCAACCGTGCGCCGCCGTCCCGTGCAGCGGGAAACCCTGCAGAAGAGAGCAAGACGTGAGCTCTGCGGGCGCCCCGGTGCAGGCGGCACCTCAGGCCAGGGCACCCCCACAGCCCAGCCGCACCCTCTCCTGCCCAGACAGCCGTGGCCTCCTCCTCACAGGGGTCCAGCCACTGTCCCCGGGAGGAAGGGGCCCTGAGGGCCGCTGACCGTGCCCCCTCATGCTAGCACTCTTCCTGGGCTTGTGGGCTGGGTTTAGTGTCCCCCAAAATCCACATCCACCTGCAGCCTGGAAGGTGGCCTCGTCTGGACACAGGGTCTTCGCCAACGTGACCAAGTTAAGATGGGGTTATACCGGACAAGGGTGGGTCCTGACCCAACACAAGGGGTGTCCTTTTAGGAGACACAGGTGGAGGGAACACAGCCACGTGAGGACGGCCAGAGACCCGAGGATGGTTGACAACCCTGCCGATGCCCTCAATGCGGGCTTCTGGCCTCCACAGGCTTTCCTGGGTGGTACAGATGGTTAACGCACTCGGCTGCCTACCAAAAGGTTGGAGGTCTGAGTCCACCCACAGGCGCCTTGGAAGGAAGGCCTGGCGACCAGCTTCCAAAAACTCAGCCACTGAAAACTCTAAGGAGTGCAGTTCGTACCGACACACGTGGGGTTGCCACGAGTCGGGGTCAGCTCAGTGGCAACTGCTTTTCCTTTAAGCCTCTAGAACCGTGAAAGAATAAGGCTCTGTTGTCCTAAAGCCACTCGTTTGTAGCCGTTTGTTCCAGCAGCCCCAGGACACTCAGAGAGCTGGCAATCAGCAGATCTGCTCTGGGAGCCAGGCTCCTCGCCCCACCTTCCCTGACCCTCCCGCCACAGCCTGCACACCTCCTGCTCCAGGACCCCCTCGGTCTCCACCGTGCTTCTGCGCACAGCACGCCGGACTCGCCCACCCCCACCTCGGGGCAGCCCTGCCTTGGGACTGCTGGCCAAAGGGACCTGAGGGTGTGCCTGGGGTGACAGACGGGCACGCTGGGCCCCGCAGGATCTCGGGGGCGGGGATCCAGGCAGAGGAAACACCCTACACACCGACGCCGGAACAAAGGCAGGACACGTCCTGGGGCTCCGAGGCCCCGCTGTGCTGATGATGTCTCTCCCGTGTGCAGTGCCAAGACCGGTGTGTGCGTGTGTCTGCGTGTGTAGACCCTGGGGCTGTCCTGGGTTCAACAGGGCCCCCCTCCAAAATCTATGTCCATCTACAACCGCAGCATGTGACCTCATTTGGAAACAGGCCATACTGGGTTAGTCGTGGGGTGCCGTCAAGTTTTTAATCCAGAGACCCAATGTGATGGAGTAGAACTGCCCCATAAGGGTTCCTAGGCTGTGATTTTTATGGGAGGAGATCGCCAGCTCTTTCTCCCGCAGAGCTGCTGGGTGTGTTCGAACCAGCAACCTTTGGTTAGCTGCTGAGCGTTTAACATTGTGCCACCAGGGCTCCTTCAGTGGGTCAGGGTGGGCCCTAAACCCAGTGACAAGGGTCCTTATAAGAAGGCTGTGTAAAGACAGAGACACAGAGGGAAAACGGCCGCCACGTGAAGACAGAGGCAGAGATTGGGGTGATGCATCTACAAGGCCAAGAAGGATCCCCCCCTTGAGCCTCCAGAAACACGGTAAATTTCTGTTGTTTTGAGCCACCCGCTTTGGGGTCACTTGTTGGGGCAGCCTCAGGACCTAACACGGGCGCCTGCTCTAGCGGTGCCAAACAGGTTCTGTGACCGGGGGCAAGCCACCTGACCCCCGGGGCCTCAGTCTCCTCATCTGACAGGGCTGCTCAGGAGGGTAAATGAGATGATGGGGGCCCAGTGGGGGGCCGGGGGGCTGGATCAGACTGAAAACAGCTAAAGAGTTAAAAAGGAGCCCTGGTGGTGCAACGGGTAGGAACTATGCTGCTTACTGAAAGGCTGGCAGTTCAAACTCCCCCAGCAGCTCTGCAGGAGAAAGACCTGGCCATCTGCTCCCATAAAAATGACAGCCTAAGAAATCCTATGGGGCAGCTCTACTCTGTTACATGGGGTCGCTAGCAGTCGGAATTGACTCGATGGCACCCAACAAGAAGGGGCTGAAGCAGCTACAGTCATGTGCACAGCCGCCAACAAGCAATCGTGAAAAAATTACAAAGGCCTGAGACAAGTCTACCCACTCACGGAGCAGAACGAGGGAGGAAGACGCACACGTGATTCCGTGTGAGCAGAACACCGCGGCACAGCTGGCTTCGGGGCTACTGCGTTTGACAACCCCTGGGCTGGAGCGGTGCACACTCCGAGGCAGAAAGAGCCGCACGGGACACGCTCACCGTCACGAGCCCACAGGACGGCGCGGGCTCCCACTGCCACGCAGCCGCCTCCTCCCAGACCTGCCACCTGAGACCAGGCACTGGGGACAGCCACACGGAGCAGTCACTAGACCCGGGCATGCGGGGAGGCAGCAGGGTGAGCTGGGGGCGCCGACAGCTTCGGGGAGCCCCTGAGCCCCCAAACAGGATGCAAATTTTACATGAGAGTATTTTTCATGAGGGATGTAGTCTACTGCAAAAAACTAAAACCAAGCCCACCGCCCTGGAGTCCGACTCCTAGTGACCCCACAGGATAGAGTAACATCGCCCCACAAGGTTTCCCAGACAGTATTCTTCACGGGAGCCGACTGCCACATCTTTCTCCCACGGAGCAGCTGGTGGGTTGGAACCGCCGGCTTTTCGGTTCGCAGCCGAGCGCTAACCCACTGTGCCACTGAGGCTCCTTGCAGTCTACAGCAGCGGTTCTCGAGCAGAGGCGGTTCTGCCCCGCGGACACTGGGCCATGTCTGCACACACTCCGCTGGGGGGAGGGCGGCACTGTGCTGTCGGGTGGGCGGAGACCACCGACGCTGCCCACACCCATAGTGCACAGGGCGGTCCCACCGCAGAGAAGGATCCGGCCCCCACGTCAGCAGCACTGGGCGGGGGGAGGGACCCTGGGCTACAGCTTTCAATGTATAGTTAAAGGGGTCCAGGCCCCAAAAGGGGAAGCTGCAGTGGGCTGGGGAACTTGTGGGGGGGTCTGAAGTTTGGGGTGGCACCATCAGAGATAGGTTTCAAGGAAAGCCTGGCTGAGAACCCAGAGGGGAGGTAGGAGGCCCCTGGCAACCCCAAGAATGAAGGGGCATCCCCAGGTGGTCAAGGCCCCACCAACCAAGCCAGAAACCCACTGTTGTCCTTACCAGCTCCCTCTATCCCCCTGGATCCCACCCATCACTGGGCCTCACCTGCTGGCTCTACCTTCCAACTCCACCCCCACCTTCCTCTGGTCCATCTACCCCCAGCAGCCAAAGGATCTTCCCCCAACGCCAATGTGGCCACGCCCTCCCTTTTGGGGTAACCATGGGGCTTTGCACCTGTCTCAGGATGAAGGCCAAACCCCTCTCCAGGGCCTGCAGTCCTGCTCACGCTTCTGCAGACTTCTCAGGCCTCAGCCACCCTGTCCCGTACTCCCCACCCTGCTCGCCACGGACCAGCTGCACCGCCGCTCCTGCCTCAGAGCCCGCAGCCACGCTGCTCCCTGCCTGGGATGCCCCTCCGCAATCCGGCCAGCTGGTCCTTGCCCCTGTCCTATCCATCTTTCAGGCAACTTCCCCAAGAAACCTTCCTTAACAAGATCAAATGGGCACACCAGCTCAGAAGCAAGGACGAGAAGGCAGGAGGGGACAGGAAAGCTGGTGACAGGGAACCCAAGATCGAGAAGGGGAGAGTGTTGACATGTCGTGGGGTTGGCAACCAATGTAACCAAACAATATATGTACTAATTGTTTGATGAGAAATTAATTTGCTCTGTAAACCTTCATCTAAAGTACAATAAAAAAATTTTTTTAAAAGAAAAAAAAAAAGAAGCCTTCCTTGACCCCTAAACCTGAACAGGACCCCCTAAACCCAACCAGAACCGCTAAACCCGGCCAGGACCCCTAAACCTGACTAGGACCCCCAAAACCCAACCAAAACCCTTAAACCCAGCCAGGACCCCCCAAACCCGACTAGGACCCCCCAAACCCGACTAGGACCCCCCAAACCCGACTAGGACCCCCCAAACCCAGCCAGGACCCCCCAAACCCGACTAGGACCCCCCAAACCCGACTAGGACCCCCCAAAGCAGGTCAGGATCCCCTCATACACTCTCATGGTTCCAGGCTTTTTGTCTTTTACATGTTTAACCATAAACCACAACCCCCCCAGACTAGACACTCCTCAAGGGCAGGACCAGAATCTGGTTTTTCAGCTCAGTAAATATTTGTTGAAGGAGCCCTGGTGGCACAAAAGTTAAGTACTCGACAGCTAACTGAACCCACCCAGTGGCTCCTCGGAAGAAAGGCCCGGAGATCTGCTCCTGTAAAGATTACAGCCAAGAAAGCCTTATGGGACTCAACGGCACTCAGCAACAACAACAAGTACTTGTTCAATGAATGGACATGTGGTTTGTGGCAAAGGGGAAAGCCACAGGAGGGAAAGAGGAGCCTCCAGGGTGGGCTGGTGTGACAGGTGTGAGGGTCAGTCTCTCTGTCCCCTTGGCGAGGGGACTGTCCACCATTACTCAAGCAAACACTCCCCTAGGTGTTGCTCTAGAGGCATTTTGTAGATGGGGCTAACATCTCCAATCTGCAGACTTTAAGTAAAGGCCATCACCCCTGATAATCTCGGTGGGGTGGGCCTCATCCAATCAACTGAAGGCCTCAAGACCACAAACTGAGGTTTCCCAAAGAAATTCTGCCTCAAGACAGTGACATACAAATCCTGCCGGGGCTTCCAGCCCTACTGGCTGGCCCTACAGATCCAGACTTACCAGCCCCCACCATCTCACGAGCCAAGTCCTTAAAATCAATCTGTCTCCCCCTCTCTCTCCATATATATATACCCAAAGTCTTCAAACTGATTCCAACTCAAGGCAACCTCAGGCGTTACCAAGTAGCACTGCCCCATACGGCTTCTTGGCTCTAATTTTCACAAAAGCAGA